ATTTTCCACACCACTTTTTGATATTAAAATATGACCTAAAATATTTGTGTATTAAATTAAATATTATTATTAAATATTATATACACTACCGGTCAAAAGTTTGGGATCAGAACGATTTTTAATGTTTTTTACAGGAGTTTCTAATGCTCATCAAGGCTGCATTTATTTGATCAAAAATACAGGAAAAAATGTAATATTGTGAAATATTATTATGATGTAAAATAAAGTTTTTTTCTATTTTAATATACATTAAAATTAGTGCTGTCAACGTTAACGCGTTAACGCATGCGATTAATTTTACAATCCTTAACACGTTAAAATAATTTAACGCAATTAACGCAAAATTACTGAAGCACAATTTCTATTCTAACCCTTTAACCCAATTTTGCTTCTCTGCTTGCGATCAGATCATTTTAAGCCGCTAAAGTTTTCAGTCCAATGATCCAGTTAGTGAATGCATTCAAACAATCCGTCCAAAACAGCGCTAATATAAAGGAAACCAGGCTGATTATATCAGAGATTGCAGAGAGAACAGAGACTCGCGTTGCGTTTTCAGTGAATTATTCATTCCAGTGTGTTTGGCTTTAAAACACGAGCTCTGTCATATTCTGTGATTGTCTCTGAAGAGCGCGAGCCCACACGTCACACGCGCTGTGTGACGTACAGACTGAACAGGTAAATCAGCATATTAGAATGATTTCTGAAGGATCATGTGACACTTTATACTGGAGTAATGGCTTATGGAAATTCAGCTTTGCATCACAGAAATAAATTATATTTTAAAGGATATTCAAATAGAAACCATTATTTTATATTGCAATAACATTTTGCAAGATTACTGTTTTTTTTCTGTATTTTTGATCAAATAAATGCAGCCTTGATGAGCATAAGGGACTTCTTTAAAAAACATTGCAAGTCTTACTGATCCCAAACTTTTGACCGGTAGTGTATATTGTATCAAGAGCTTACAAAACACATTTGTGAGGGGTTTGGATACTATTTTAACTCAGAATTATTCTAATTCAGGTGAATTCAACTATATGCAAATCAAAAATACTTGTTGGCTGAAAGCTATTTTGCCAATTAAATTTAACAGTGCGAATGGGCTTTTCCATTTTTTTCCTTTAGGTAGTGCTTTAATTGGAAAAAGGATTACTCAAGCAACAAAACGATAGAGATGCCTCCGAGGATAACAAGATGTTGTGCAGTGCCAAGTTGTGGAAAAACAGTCTTTGCATTGCCTTCCTTGTGATCCTAACATTAGGAAAGAGTGGATGAACTTTATTTTTGACGAAGTTCCAGATCACGTCAGTAAGGCACTGTTTATTTGTTCGCTTCATTTTACTGCGGATTCATTTTTAAACAAGTTCGATGCAGGCTTTTCAGAGAGACTGAAAATTAAAAATGATGCAGTGCCGACTATATTGGATCCAACAGTAATGTCGCAACACACAAGTGTGAGTAACAATGTGTTTACCATTTGTCACTATTACTTTGTCTGTTACAGATCGTTTGACATGTACTGAGTGTTTATACGTTTTTAACCAAAATGACCCATATTGTTATATATATTTAAGCAAAACTGTTACCCAATCATAGCAGTGGTTCTTACTTTTAATTTGAACTTTTTAAGTCTTGAATGCGGCAGGCCTATCAAAACAGTGTGTTTCAAAGAGTGGGTCAAATACAGGATAAAAAATGGCATATTACCTCTAAATTATAATAAATTTAGGGCTGTTTTTTGTATTGATTGATGTATTGATTTTTTTTTTTTCGATTAGTCAATTTGTCTAATTATTTTACCCTGATATTTTGTGATTAGTTGATTAATCCTTTGGTTACCTTGCCAATAAATAATAACTGACATTTCTTTCATTCATTTTTCATGATTTATTTAAACATGATCTTATAAAAAACCCTTACTTTACAAATAAAAAATCTTGCTAACATTATAAGTGGACCTGTATGTAAAAATGTAAAAAAACTTCCGTTCATGCAGTGTGTAGTGCAGTCTAGCTGATTTGTCTGGTCTGAGTTTACTAAGGTCAAACTGACTTTTTTTACTGCGGATTCATTTTTAAACAAGTTCGATGCAGGCTTTTCAGAGAGACTGAAAATTAAAAATGATGCAGTGCCGACTATATTGGATCCAACAGTAATGTCGCAACACACAAGTGTGAGTAACAATGTGTTTACCATTTGTCACTATTACTTTGTCTGTTACAGATCGTTTGACATGTACTGAGTGTTTATACGTTTTTAACCAAAATGACCCATATTGTTATATATATTTAAGCAAAACTGTTACCCAATCATAGCAGTGGTTCTTACTTTTAATTTGAACTTTTTAAGTCTTGAATGCGGCAGGCCTATCAAAACAGTGTGTTTCAAAGAGTGGGTCAAATACAGGATAAAAAATGGCATATTACCTCTAAATTATAATAAATTTAGGGCTGTTTTTTGTATTGATTGATGTATTGATTTTTTTTTTTTCGATTAGTCAATTTGTCTAATTTACTTACCCTGATATTTTGTGATTAGTTGATTAATCCTTTGGTTACCTTGCCAATAAATAATAACTGACATTTCTTTCATTCATTTTTCATGATTTATTTAAACATGATCTTATAAAAAACCCTTACTTTACAAATAAAAAAATAAAAATAAAAAATCTTGCTAACATTATAAGTGGACCTGTATGTAAAAATTAAAAAAAACTTCCGTTCATGCAGTGTGTAGTGCAGTCAAGCTGATTTGTCTGGTCTGAGTTTACTAAGGTCAAACTGACTTTCTTTTACAGTGGATAAAGAAACAAATGAACATCTAAAAGTGCGGTATCAATGATAGCTAGATGTTTTCTATAAGAGACAAATTTGAGATTTCCAAAACAACCTGATTCATTTAATCGAAACAGTTTTTGAAACTGTCTTTAATCAAAACAGTTTATGATTAAATAATGATAAAACAAATCCAAATTTATGCTTGGCTGGATGTCATTTAAATTATACAAAGTCTAGGGTTGGCTATTGATGCTGATTTTGTGTTAACAAACTATATTCTATTCCAATTTGATGTTGATTCATTTGGCCCGTTTTAGTTACATATAACCTTTATTTTTAAGTGTGCAGAATTGGAAATGGAAGGTCAAGATGAGCATTGCACTGTGGGATACAGTATTTGCAGTATGATCTATTGTGTACTGCTCTTTTTGGCAATTGTAGCTCATCCGTGCATATTCCAAAATATTTTCATACAGGGCACAATATATGCATTCTGCAAAAATAGTATTAGTCTGGTTGTGGCCACTTACTCTATATCATACTGTTAAGTTTATTTATTTGTCTTATGCTTTCTATTCTATACATGTTAAAATTAATCGATCTCTGTATTGTCAGCCCAAGACATGTCGTGAAATGGGATGCCAGACGGAGGAGCCCAACACCAGAGATGGAGAATGCCAAACCATCCAAGACTTGAAGCAGCGCAGCTGGAAAGTTGAACCAAAGATTGAAAGTGCGTTTTACTGTTTTCTACTTCATTCAGGCTTTGAAATGTTTTTTTTTTTTTTCTTTCATTTTTATTTTTTTTTTTTTTTTTGCCTTTAGATATACTGACATTGATGGTTTTTAATCCTTATTGTGATGTGTTAGAGGTATGTAGATTAGAGATCTGGATGCGACTGGAATACAGAGACTTGTGGTTGATTTTTTTTTTACTTCAATGCCCCAAACTAGTAACTATTTTAAAGTGGCTAGTTTTATATGTTCTTTATATTCTTTTTATTGGTAACAATAATTGTAACTATACAATTCTGTGTGGATCTGTTTTTACTAGTGGACCTGACTTTACTAGTTTATTTACTAGTATCTATTAATTACATACAAATGCTTATTTAGTTACTAATTGTAATTCTTACTAAAAACAATTACTTTTTTTTTTTTACCTTTCTATTTTCAAACTGGCTTGAGAAGCAGATAGTTATATGAACTATAGAGGGGGTTTAAAGTGAATGTATTTATTGTATCTGAACTTAAATGTAGAAACGTGATTTGGGTTATTCTTGCTGGACAGGGGGCATCCAGTGGACGAAGTTTAAAAAGACTTTAACAAGTTGTAAAAAAAAAAAAACTTAAGTAAAACTTTTTTGATAAATCAATAGCTCGGACTTGGCGGTATTCTCGAATTGTTAAAAACAGCCATGTAAAATGTAATTCTTATGTTAATATACGTACAGGACAAGTGAGATGAGCAGTATGAAACGGTAGACTATTATGATACAGTTGGGCCCGGAGGACATACGGAGTCACAGCTGTTTCCGCAAAGCACTGTTTACCCAGGTGGTTAAACCGACATAAAACTTTTTTGATAAATCAATAGCTCGGACTTGGCGGTATTCTCGAATTGTTAAAAACAGCCATGTAAAATGTAATTCTTATGTTAATATACGTACAGGACAAGTGAGAGATGAGCAGTATGAAACGGTAGACTATTATGATACAGTTGGGCCCGGAGGACATACGGAGTCACAGCTGTTTCCACAAAGCACTGTTTACCCAGGTGGTTAAACCGACACGTAAACTCGGGCAAGCGATAACTAACAAGGCTGCACTGTGGATCAAAACGAAACTAGTTAATTTACATAACGTTACACAGCAAATGTCTTAATCTTTAACCTTGTGTGAAATATAAATGATATTTCGTGAAACGTTTTAATGTGAACGTAAAACAATGTTGTGACATTGCGCAGATTGTACTGAATGTTTCACAACACGTCTAGTGTAACGCACTCAGTGTAATGTAATGGCCACCAGAGTTGCAACTAACTTCCTGCCATACGTGAACAATTCCAGCTAGATTTCCAAAGACTCCACATCTGCGAAGCGAACAACAAACAGGAAACGCTCATGCCATGAAATTGACAGACGTACAGCGTTGACCACTCCGTGTCCAGGGGGTCGAATCACACAGCCAATCACGGCGTAGAAGAAAGGCGGGTCTTCCGTTTACGTGACGCAAATTTCATTGGTAATTTCCGAAGCCCCACCTTTTGTGTTTCCCGCACCGTCAATCAAAAATAAGAAAAAAAATCGACCCGAATCTCCGATCACAGCCCGCCTTTGATTAAAACAATCATGTTGGGAGTTTAAATGAACAGATAAACCTCCGATTTTTTACCTTTTCACGCTATGACTGGTACGTAACACTTAGCCCGATCGAAGCACAGCACCGCTGGTGAGTTTGGAGAGCCATTAGCAAAGCGAGCTAGCTCAGTGTTTAATCTTTCTCAGCAGCGACGCTAACCGTTAGCCAGCTAGCCTTACTTTAACAAAGTAAACATTTGAAAAGACTGTTGCTCAGGCAACGCCAAAGCAGAAAGAACCGCCTGATTCGTTTAAATTCCAGGCGGTTTGGCGGCAAATCTCCGCCTTTTCGAGGTGGGGGTTCGTTGAGCATGAATTTGTTTTGAGTTTTTTCTCTCGCTGTGTCTCCGTAGCCCCAGAACAGCCAGCGAAACAGCAGGAAATGGCTGCCTTGGACGTGGACAGCAGTCAGAGCGACTTTTTGCAGCCGGCCAGCGGCGCCCTGGACCAGGTATGAAATCCCCCTGTTGGTTTGTCGCTTCCCCGGCGCTGTCTTGCGGGGTGTCGTGGTGTTTTGGTGAAGTTCACACGTTTTAAAAATAGGGGAAAAGTCGAACACTTCCTGTGAGCCTTCGCTTTGTACGGCCACCCACTTTCTTACCCTTTTAAACCCGCCCATTGTGGGTCGGACAGACTCGCCACCGTCGCCTTGCCCGCTTTACCTGTGGTGATCCCCGGTCACCCCCACGATAGGGGAGGACCCCTCCACCGGGAAAAGCCTCCACCCCTGCCCAGGCTGTCACATATCCTCCACAGTTCCACCATTCCCCCTGGAGCGGTTGCGTGCACAGACCTGGCAAACAGAAGCTCTTTGTCACCTTTTGTCATGTGCTCTTGGCTTTTGAAGTAATATCGATGATTTATTAGCATTTTCTGACAGACGTACAGCCGCTGAAAGACGTTATTGTTCCCTATTAAACAGATAACTGAACCAAAGTCCTGAATGACACCTCTTAAGTTTGAAGTCGGCATGAAATGAAAATTCACTCTATCCGTTTTTAAAATTCATGTTATAGATCTTATTGTGAACAATTCATCCGTGCATATGTTTACTTTATAAATTATACGTTTATTGTTTAGCAGAAGTTTAGTGCTTTGACCTTGTAACGTGATTGTCTAATCAACTTGTCATAACTGGATATTCTGGTGAAAGCAACAGACTTCTCTCTTGTGTCCTATGCAGGACTTCCCCATTCATTTAGTCTGCTTAAAACCCACCCCTGCAAGCTCTCCTTCATCTGCCTCTATTTTTTTAGTGCAACATCCACATCTCAAAATAAGGATGGATAGAACCAAGTCCCCGTCCTTTCATTTTTTCTATTTCTATTTATATATTACACTCAGAAGTAGGGCTGTGCGATATGGACAAAAAAAACCTATCGCGATTTTTTTTTTCTCAATTTTGCGATTTCGATTTTAATCACGATTTTGACACACACAGACATGCTTACAGTCATAAATGCATTCAGTGTGAATTTGAAACATATTTCCAAAAGAAAACCAATTAGAGCTTTATCAAGAAGCTGTAACATGTCTCTAGAACAGACATAAGGCAAAATAATCACTAAGTAAAGGTGTAACAAAATGCCTCTAGAATAGGCATATGGCAGGGAAAAAAAAATCCTGTGTCCAGGGATTTTTTTTGCCATGCATTGGTCATAGAGCTAGCTCTTTGTGGCGTTGCCTCAGATGTTGAACTAGATTTGTCGCGTCAAGTTCACACGTGCTCTGTCTGCAGTGCGTATACAGTATGTGTATGCGGTGCAGAAGCAGCACAAACTCATTTTGCTTTCGCACAGGACGCGTTTGCAGTCCGCTCCTGATCCGCGGCTGTTTACCACAAACACAACATTTATCCATTATTTTGATTTCAAATCCAAACGTTGTTTCTGAAAATGCTTTTTCAGCATTGTGATTCTCTTTTATCACAGTACAGTAATACAACCTTTCATAGACATCTTCACGTTTAAACTCAATAAATATAACTTTGTTTAACTACCACCACGAGTGCCATCTATTATTGCCTTGTTTATCTAAAAGTGCACTTTTCCTTGTTTTAAATCTAGCCAAAAAGCCATGTGTTGACTGAAACAGTAGACTTTAATTATATGCATTTATGGTGTAATTACTAAATTTCCGTGTCAATCCATGTTAATTTTGACCGCAAATAATGTGCTGTCACTTTAATTCAGCGCATGCAGCACAGCAGAAATAAGCCCTATTCGCACGGGATTAGTATTACCTGGTGACCTCCAGTCATTTGTAATAATTGCGGAGGTTGTCTGTGATCTTAATCCCGTGCGAATCGGCCATGTCTGTAATTTGTAAAGTGAAAATTCCCCCGCAAATGACCTACCATATTTCGCCGAACACCCAGGTCCTGTGATAATATTAGTCCCGTGCGAATCGGCATCTCTGTGATTCGGCCAGCATCTGGCGGGTCGCATATCATTTTTCGAGGTTTTTGTTTGCTGTGCGCCTTTTTATCCATCTTTCGCGAAGAATGGAGCTGCGTTGGAGTGTTTGATAGTATTTTGGGTGCTGTCATCATATCGCTACACCATACAATTTGCAGAAAGAGAAAGCTGAAAAGGTTTTGAGGTTAATGTGTTACAAATAAATCAAGCATAAAGCTTGAGATATTATTTTAACCTGGTGAAATGTAAATGACACAGCGCACGAAAATATATTAATTTATTTTTTTTAAATCCATCTGGACCATAGAACGGGACTCTCAAAGCCTTGACATCCGGGTATCCGGGAGACAAGTCAGTAAATTCGAGTAAAATCACAGGCTTCGCTTATCCCGTGCGAATGCACCACACGAAATTCAGATGTGGGGGGGTAATTTCAAAATCACACAAGGTCTCCAGATAATACTAATCCCGTGCGAATAGGGCTATAGACTCCGTGCAGAAGCGCTCCGCTCCTGGAGCACACTGCCGGACCGCAATCGCATGCAGTGTGAACGCTCTGATCCGTTAACATGGGCGCGGACAAAATACGCACCACAGACTGAGTGTGTGAACCTGGCATTACGTTTGTATGCCCGCCCGGTCTGTTCTGTTCTCGTGCTCCATTTAGGCGTGCTGCATTCTGATTGGTTCGGATAGTATACTGCGGGAGGTCGGGTGCGTGGAAAATTGTGCTGTAAAGCGATTTAGAAATCGCGATTTTATGACGATTTCGATTAATCGCACAGCTCTACTCAGAAGTGCGTCACAATAAGGAAGGAACTTATGTTTCATCGGGACTAAGTACTGTATTTAACATAAAAAATGATTGTTTTTCATGCTATATTTATTAGTTAAGCTTTATCCTCATTGAGATCTAATGCTTGGATGAATTTTCGGCATTAATATTATATAACGACTTTATAACATTATATTTAATGCTTAGCACAATTATACTTTAATGCATAATTTTTTAATTCTATAGTGACTTGTATTTCCATATTTTTTTTCTTTGTTCAGGCCTGTTGACACCAAGGACGATAACTATTTCTATAAAATTTTAATAATTTTTCTGAGAGAATAGGGAGGTCCACACCACAACTATAACGTTAATGACACAGAGGAACAATATCGTTGGAATCACTTTCAGAATTATTTTTTTCCAGCTGATGAACAATAAAAACATTGACAGCCGATCAGAATTCACTGGACTTTAAAGAGCTTGAGAATTTAAAGCAGCAGACAGGCTAACTTGAGCACATGTTGTTTGTAAACAGAATGTTATCGTCCATTGGTGTGAACACTAATATAGTTATCATTTTTGGTTGAATCCAAATTGCTCTGTGTGTGTATGATCAAATTTGTCATGAAGCACTAATATAATAGTAATATCTCCACCCCACAGCAGACCACAGACCTCACAGCCATCCAGTTGACGGGCTCCTCTGATCGCTGGGAGGTTCTAACATCTGTGAGCTCAGTGAAAGACGAGCCATCAGTAGTGCAGGTACCCAGCGGAGGACTTCTGGGCAGCAACGGGCAATATGTGGTGCCACTACAGACTATGGCAGGGCAGACCCAGTCTGTTTTCGTGACTGCAGGGGTAGATGGCACCGGGGCCAATGGGGTGCAGTACCAGATCATCCCTCAGCTGCAGGGAACGGATGGTGCGTCACTAAGCTATGCAGCACCCACTGCAGACGTAAGCACAATGGGTACTGACATTGCTATCCTTCAGGATGGAACGCAGGGCATTGCCACAGCCACCAATGCTAATGATCTCCAGGGCTTGCTGAGTCAAAGTGGGCATGTGCAGCAGATTCCCACAGTCTCACTGGCCGGCTCAGGGTTTGGCGCACAGGGCCAGGTTGTCGCTAATGTACCGGTGGGGCTGCCGGGCAACATCACATTAGTGCCGATAAACAGCTTGAGTAACATGGATCTCGAGTCTCTGGGGTTGGCTGGTGCTCAGACCATAGCGACAAGCATTACAGCAGATGGCCAGCTCATCATGACCGGTCCCACCACCTCAACAAGCGATAGCCAGGTTGAAAGCAAATGCACAGAGCCACTTAACACCAACAACGCTAATGCCTTTGTGCCAACCACCACCTCTTCCACAATGACGTCGCTTCCTGAGACGATAGACGGGACTGGCGTTCTCACCCAAGCCACTGCTGTATCAGCCGGGCAGCAGGATCCATCTTACTTCCAGCAGAACCACACGGCTGGCGGTGAACCGGTGGTGCAGCTCATACCAGCGCAGACGGCAGATGGAGCGGCGCAAACACTACAAAGCGTGCAGCTGTTAAATGCTGGTACATTTCTGATCCAAGCTCAAACCGTCTCTCCCACAGGCCAGATCCAGTGGCAGACCTTCCAAGTTCAAGGGGTTCAGAACCTGCAGAATCTGCAGCTGCCGGCTGCTGGGGGTGTCTCATCCCCCCAAATTACCCTTGCCCCTGTGCAGACCCTTTCTCTTGGGCAAACTGGCACCACAGGCACGGTGGGACAGATCCCAAACCTTCAGACAGTCACAGTCAATTCTGTTGGTCAGTACCAGCAAGATGAAAACACGGAATGCCACACAGGTATGTAGGAACACACACACTTAAAGGTTACATTTTCCACAAGTTGGTATGTTTCTTTAGGGTCTACATGAAATGTCTGCAACATACTTTAAAAATTCTTCAGTGGTCATGTAAAACAATGCCCTTTTTACCTTGTTAAAAACAGCTCTGATCACAGCGACCCGTTTCGGTGCATGTCTCTTTAAATGCTAATGAGCTCTGCTCACCCCGC